TTCCAACTCCTAATATTCTGTGATGCTGTGAGTAGAGCCATTATGCTTCTTTTGTACAGTTCAATCAAATTAATAGTTCTCATCACTGTTTTCATAATTGAAGGTGATGAAGTAATTTTCTGTACGCATACAGTACCTGATTTCTGAGCTTCTGAATTTCTTCCTCTCTGTCCTTTATTCTGCTTTGCAAAGTATTCTTTGTTCGATACAATTCTTCTTCAGTATAATGGAGCTCCTATAAATTTATCACAATCACAAGTAAAAGATTTTATTCATATATGTATTTTGAGAGACATTCTTTTATCTAGTTCTCCAGTAGAACATAAGGCGGCAATATGCTGAAATAAAATACAAACTGAAATTTAATCTTAAAGACATAACCTACAAGACTTACTAAATTCTTCTGTGGAGACTAACCTAATATAAATATTACTCCAGACTAGTTTACTAGAAGTTACACAATTTCACTTGGACCATGATTTATTATCCTTATACTCTCACTGTTTATTATATTGCTACTGTGAAACTATGTCAATAACATAACTTAAACAATTGGGAAATACTTTTGGGGGGAATCTATGTTCCTAAAAATACCCCAATCAAACCAGCAATCCAAGACACCAATTTTTAAAAGTGTTTAAAACCCCTTGTCATATCTATCTATAATTCTGTATGACATAGATGTTCTTTTAAAGTTTAGGATAAATTAACATAAAAGGGGGAAGGAAAGAAATATTAGTAAGGGACAACTTACTGAACAGCAAATCTAATGATAACTTTTGTTACTCCCATAATTTAGTGGCTATTTTAACTCCAACTTAAAGACCTGTCACACTTATCTTTTAATTTAAGACAGTCTGCAAATTACTGTAACACTTCAGCTGTCAGTTGCTACAGAAGACAGATATTCTCCCTTCAAACCACCAGATGTACAAGAAATAACACCTTTACTTATTTTTTATCTTCAGTCTCAGAAACCTTAGGACAACAGTTACAGACCATAATTGTATTAAGTATCACTGCACACAATTACTTTAAAAGCACATGTAAATCCATGTCAAAAGGAATACTTCAGCTTCTGTAATAACTGATAATGCCTTTTTTTAAATTCATCTCGCTTATTTCTATATGTAGTAATAACTTAAAATATACTCCTCAGAAGGGCAAGAGTAACAAAAAACAATCTACCATCTGCTTTGATACAATAAACATCAGCTATCCATCAAGAGCAGACCTCGACTTCTGCCTTTTAATTAGTTCAAGCTGCTAGTATCTCATTAAAATGTAATTTCTGGAAGGACAGATAATCCTATAAGATAAATTGTTCCTAGCAGATCTAGTGTACTGTCCTGCTTTCCTCATTATTAATTCTCTTACATGAGCTTTTTCTTACAAAGAAATTATTTAATAAGGTACAAAGCATTTGTCTGATTTCTACTGAGTAAGTTTGTTCACATGAAATATGAGTTTGCCTTTTCTCCCCTCTTCTTAGCACAACTACTTAAATCAAGGCAAAGTTTACTTAAAAAGATGACAGTCTGACAAAATACATTAATACAATTTTATCAGCAATTTGTCTTATAGAAAGAGTTGGGTGTAGATTTAGATTGAGAACTGAGTAACAAGTGGATTTAAAAAAAGTATCTATGAATTGGTACAATAACATTGTTTTATGAGCGCAATATTACGTAGTAACTGAGGACAGGAAGTTCCACAGTAACCATTTTTAGTATTTGAACTCCTTGACAAAAGTAACGGTTACAACTGTTACTATACCCCTATCGTTTGATTCTTCCCCTGCTGAATAAAATGTAAAATCATGATCAATTCTGTGCACTCCCTAGGGTAATTTTTAAATTAAAAAAGAAACTCTGGGTTTATTCTTTAATATATCAGTGAGATCTCTGTTTATCAGGAGTATTCAGAAAGCCCTGTCCATTCCTTAGTACCGGTTGTGCTTTGTTTGGGCTAGTGACATTCATTAAGCTTTCAGGGATTTATTTGGAATACTAGACAAAAATTAAACCAAATACTGTATGAACTACTCTCTTATTAAGCCACTGATTACATGATGTGAGGCCTAAAGTAAGACCAATCAGCTTTCAAGAATTCCTTACCTGTTTTTGCCGTTCTAGTTCAGCTTCTGTTTCTTGCTTGGCCATTTTATGTGCTGCTATTTGCTCTTGTAGATCTTGAAGCTGCTCTCTCACTGACTCAGCTTCACTTACCTGCTGAGTCTCCATATCCTGAAATATACAGAAATGATACCATTTCACTAAAATTCATACAATATTGCAATCTGACATAGATAATGGCAAAAAAGTTGTATCTGCAATATTGCTTCAAGGGAAAATATAGATGAGGATGTATTGAATAAATTACATTTGGTCATCTTATATAGAATAATTTTACTAATACAGTAATAAAATAAATGCATTTTCTGAACATGAAAAACCTCCATGTTTTCCTTTCTACTAAACCTATGTATGGTTGCGTGCAACTGCTGGGTTGAGCTAATTATGCCAGCAGACGACTTGGATTACAGTTGCTTCAAGGATTAGTAGCCCTTGCAGAAAAGAATATAGGTGATCTCTACAGAAATCCCCATGCTTGTTTGGAAAGAAATGCTCCTCAAAAGGAGCACACAGTAATGAGGAAAGAGAGAAGTGGTATCTATAGTATTCCTCCCACCATGAGCTGAAGTGGTGAGAGAGAACATGTAAAGCAATCAGGTATCAATAAGTACTTGTCTTACCTTGAGCAAAAGCTGGCTTATTTTAATACTAGGTGAAATAAGCACTATTTCTAAATGTAGTGAAAGTACAGAAGAAAAACTAAAGTGTACAAGGAAATATGTGCATGGCTAACTACAAATACATGCGTACATAATCACAGCTACCTGCAGCTCTGTTCTCATCTGCTGTATTTGACCCATCAATTTTTGTATTTCTTCTCTCTGAGTGTCCCGCTCATGTCGCAGTTCTTCCAGTTCCATTGTGCTTGCAGTATTGCTATCCAGGCCTTCAATACCTGAGCCTTCTTTTAAGCTGTTTATCAACTTTTCTTTAGACTGAAATAATAAATCAATATATATTAATTACTGCAGTATTTAACAAATGTTCAATTGAAATATGCCAAAATTACTTCGCTCTAAAATTAAAAAGAGCTGCTTTCTCTGTTCTTTTAGCCAAGTTAATAATCACCCTACACATTTTAGAACAAAAATGTTTCCCTTCTGATAATTTTTCTGACTTCCTGTATGCCATGAGACTGGATTTACTGCAAGCCTGTGTTATCTGAGGAAAAGTACTGCTTTTCTCTTCAGAAGTAACAGAATGTTAACCATGTTATGCATAAAAGTTTTGGCTTTCCAGCTACTGTAAGAGAGAAAATGGACACTAACAGACACTAAAGACAAAACTAACCCCCTTTCAGTCTGTTCTTTCTCCTGCCAACAAAGTCAAATAAAAGTCAAATACAGCAGTAACTCTTCTGGAAAAGAGGATGAGCCATTTTACTCAGAGTCAACCTAATGTTAGCTCCACATTAACTTCTGATCTTATGCTTCTCATATTGATCATGATGATTTAAAACCTGTCCTTGGATATCAGACTAAGTTAATTATTCTTAACAGACACCTTTATCCTCAGCATTTTGTTAACTTTTTTATAAGAGACTCAAACTGACCACATTTGGATTTGGTATAATTGACAACTTATTAGCATAGAACTCTGCACAAAATACCTAATTTTGCCATTGTTTATTTAATGCTGATCACATGCAATCTTTCAGATTATATAAAAATGTATACTTTGGATTATATGTAAATATCCATTACATGCTATGCTTCAGCCTCAAGCAGAAGAGAGCAATATTCTTGACTCAAGAATACTGGGTGTGGAACAAATTGCAGGTTACATCTATTTACCCATTTGCCTAAGATTGGACTCTCAGATGAGGAGCACACTGACAGATGTTGCAGAATAAGTGCAATGGTTCACCTGGACTTTTAAGTTCAAGACCTGAACTTCCATTTCAATTAGTTAATCTGTGAACTCAAATTCACAAAATGCAGACTGATAGCTGTTCTGTATCCTTAGAGATATACCCCAAAATAAATTATAGATCACATAAAAAAACCCCCACAAATTAGTTTTTTTTGAAGCACGACACCTTAAAAAAGTTAAGTGTACAAATCAAGCTGGATTTATTTATAGAAATGCTTACTTGGAGTATGCGAGTAGCTTTCTGTTTATAGTCTGTCAGCTCCTGTTTTGCAGATTCTAGGTGGTTTTTAGTTACTTTGACTTGCTGTTGAAGCTCATCAGCTCGCCTCTTTTCATCTAAATACTTTCTTTCTGCTACAGTTATCCCTTCTGCCAAGTTCTGACGGTCTGCTTCCATTTTACTTAGACGAGCCGCAAACTCATTCTATTAGCAATAAAGAAACAACATGTTGTGTTTAAACACTTTCAACCTTAACCTAGAAAGGAAAAAAGAAAGTTTAAAAGCAACTACACATGACAGAAAGATGCATTAGTGCTATGGGGAAAGAAATCCCACTTGCTTAAGCAAGTGCTAAATATTATCAGTAAAAATATGTATCTCTTTCCTCACCAGAAATAGTGAGGGAATAATAATCTTCCTATTATACATGTTTATTTGGTAAATAAAAGTAAGCTTTCCTCTCAAAAAAATATTATCAAATGTAGTCTGTCATATTTTGATGTACTTAAAAAAAAAACCAAACCAGACTCCGATGCTATTACACGTAACACAGGCCAAGCTGAGTGTGTAAAGCAGTCTCCAGCAATGATGAGCTCACATCTTTATCATAGAAGTGATCATTCAGCTTAATATGCTTAAGATTACATATTAAAATTGTGTAACAATTTGTTGTTTAACAACGTAGCATGGAAAATGAAACTGATTACTGATTTAGTTTCAAAACATGTTTTAACATTAAAGTTAGCATGACGAAAATAGTAAAAACAGTCAGCATTAATCTTCAAACACTTTTAATTGAGAAGCTTTCAAAATAACATGCAAGAAGTAAACCAGCATCACATGGACACTTAGTGCAGCAGACAGCACATCTTCCCAAGCACTTGGTACCCTGAACAGGAACCGAAGTCAAGAAGGCGGCAAAGCAGTTGGAACCTCACAGATATAATCTCAAAAATAAAGTCTAAACCTGTTCCTTACTCTTCATGTCTAACCTGCATTTGTTTGTAACTTTCTTGCTCTCGCTTGAGCGTGGAGTCTGCATCACGCAGCCTCTCTTGAAGAGTTTGAAGGGCTTGATTTTGCAAACTGCTCCCTTCACTGTGGTCTTGTATTATGCTGAAAGAGAGATATACATATTAACTGAAAAAGAAGAAATCTAGTGTGGTTTTCAGGTAGAAATATGACTATCTGCTTTTCAGACCAGCTTTGAAAATTCACCCAGTGAATTATTGAATATGGCTGGCTACAGGTGTGAGGCCTGGAGTTAATGACTCATGCATCTCCTTTCTGACCTATTTTCTGCTGTGTCCAATTGCACATTCATATCCCAGTGCTGAGATAATTCAGAAAAGTCTTAATATTTGTGGATAAGCAAATATATTTTTAAAGACAAAAACATTTTTCTTGAGATCTTCAGCTTCACGCCTCTGACACAAACATAAATACTTTACACAAAATGAGTTTCAATAATCAGGTGACAACTGCCCCTATCGACTCATTTGCCCTGTTCTCTCTGCCAGCTATGATATAACAGGCTCAGAGCAAACTTTAATCCTCATATTTCAAATTTTGATACAATCCCTTTCCCCATTAGTTTATATATTTTTATTCTTAAAGACACTAAGTTATCTACTTTGAATTTTCAAACCTATTACTAATTGGAGAATTATAAAGCATGAAATTATGAAGTACCGTGATTTTTCACTCTGCAATGCTTCCAAAGCTTCTGTTCGAGCACTTAAGAGCTGATCAGCTTCTTGCAACCGTACTTTCAGCACAGCCAGCTGTGAGTCCTTGGCACCAACAGCTTCTGTCAGATCATCAACTCGAGCTTGAAGTTCTCTAACCATCCTGTCACTTTTTGAATGGTCAACATTCCACTTCTCGACCCTTTCTCGGGATTTGTTCAATTCTACAAAATAAGAAGTTTCTTTGAAGTTTATAAAAGTAGGTATTGCAAGGTCTTGTAAATAGTCAGGATAAACACATCACCTTTCTTAAAGAAATTAAATATAACCAAGTTTAAGTAATACTGAAACTTTATGAGCTACCAAGAAGTAACAAACGCCAAACTGGCTGTTAGAGTATAACCCGTAAGAGGTAAACTCAAAACAAGCATTTCATTCCATGTCACACTGCAGTTGACAAATTTTACCTGTCTTACCCCTTGCAATGACCTACTGTTGGACATCCCTGTGCAAGCCAGCCTTTGGAAACCTCTGTATAAAGCACATAGTTCGACTCAATGTGACAATAAACTTAACCTACAAATATATTAAATATACAAAACAAAAAACACACCAGTGTTGAAATAATGCCTGAGTACTTACTGAAGCTTCTGTTTTTCATCAAAAATCACATATTAAGCTTCAATGGAAATTAAAATTCTCTGGCTCATATGGTTACTTTGAAAAAAAAAAAGCAGTACCTCAGTTTTATGCCTAAGAGTGGCAGTTTGCTCAATGTTTTCTCATTTCAGTGTTTTTATGTTCACAGTTTCTGTATTTGTCATTTAATTTGGCTTTGAAAAAGCTCATAAAGTCATACAAGAATACTAAATTTTATATTTTACTTTCAATTTCGAAGCATCTGAGACTACAGCCTACAGCCAGAAAGTAGTCAGATTTTGAAACACTTAAAGGAATGTACTCATTTAAAAAACAAGAATTTTGATGGTGTTTAAAAAGCAGGAAAACTATTTTAATACTGTTAACATTTGCTAAAACCGTTTTAATAAGATCTAGGTTTTGGAACTAACTTGATCGCATAATTTAAATCAACATTTGTGTTATCTTTGTAGTTGAATAACCCTTTTAGTTTCTCCCACCTCATTATTCTGAAACTAAGAATAATTTTGCTTGGTAAGTCATACATGCAAATTTAACTAAAAGATTTTATCATACGTCTAAAACACTAAAACAGAAAATAGCATTGTTTTCTAGCTCACTAGCTTTTTAGTAATGTGTTACAGATTAGTTTCCAAACCACAGTACCTTCTTGTGTTTCTTTGGACCTCTGAATTAATGAAGCCATTTCCTGATTTAAAGATTGAACTTCATTCCGCAGCAGCTGATTCTCCAGGCGAAGATTGGATAGCTCATGTGATTTCAAATCATCATTAGCTGCAAGGCTAGGATTAGCTGCTGCACTTGGTGATGAGTCCTTCATGCCATCCCCTTGTGCTCCCAGTCCAGAATCTGAACTGTCTGGAGTTTCTGTACAGAAAGATGCAAGTTGGAACTAATATATGTATTTGTAAGTTGCCTTGATATAAACAGCAATTCCGCATTCTGCATCAGTGGTTAAATGCATAATATAAAATAAATAAATAAATAAAAATAGTTCATATTGAAATGGAATATGGAGCTGCTTCTCCCTAGGGACTTGCACAAAATAGGACAATTATACAGTATACATGCATCATTTTTGTTAATCCTGCAAGACAAGAAATGGAAGTTAAAAAACTTCTTATCATATTAATGTCAAACTTAGGATTTTAAAACATTAATGCTTTTTATGACTATGGTGCCCAGAGATGCAAGTCTTCAAAAGCTGAGAGTGTAACAGAAAACATCAAATATACATAGCAAGTAACTAGGGGAATTTTTAGTACAAGTTCATTCTGGTTTTCCATTAAGATTTTGATTTTGGGAGTGCCAATTTTATTCTTAAAAATCAGGTGACTATATTTCGTTATTTTGATATCAAACCTAAATATGTAACTCAGCCACATAGCTACATATTTCAGTTATCTTAATGTAAAAAAGCATTTTAAGAATACTTTCAGTCACAATATCATCTTACTGATAATTTTGCACTAATAATTCTCTCAAACTATTTTTTTCAGAAGCACTTTTACTATGAAAAATCAGGTTGCAGTGATTTGAAGCAGAAGCCTGATCTTTCCTTTCTCTAATGAAGACATATAAGGGATATATACTCTGTTAAACTGTTAAAAAATTTCTGCCAATACAAACTGTAGTTTTCTAGTTTATAGAAACCAAAATACAGTTTTGGTGGTTTGGTGTTGGGTTTTTTTTGTCTTGTGAAGGAGGAACGAACTGTCTTTCCTCACCATGCATAAAAACACACAGAGCACCCTGGATTAATGCTGTGAAATTCATACATTCACTGCAACAGTCTTGATTCCAGCTTGCAGACAGCCGGAAGCTTTGCAGCAGTGTTAAGCCAAAACAACACAGCACGCAAACAAGCAGGCGACCCAAAAATATTACTTCTGAATTTTAGTATGTCCCAGATCAGTAACTGGTGAAAATCCAGGCGGACAGACTGCAACTAATTCCAAGTAAGACTGCAGTTTAGCTTTCACAACACTATTTACTTCACCTTGTAATCACCAACCAACCTGCTCCACCTTCCTTGCTACCAACAGCCCCAGTCACTCAAAGCTGAGGGAGCTGGGGCAGACTATTAATTCTCATCAACACCACGCCAACAAGTAGCAGCAGTGACAGCAACATTTCTTCCACATTTTCTCAAACCCCTTTCCTATTTAAGCAGTTCTACAAAGTGTAATTTCCTTTCATTTGATCCATTTATACTATTTCCAAATTATCAAGCAATTTATCCTCATTCCTTTGTCTGTAAAACTCAATAGACTAATAAAGCTAATGAAGCAAGAAATGAGCCATTTATAGCACATACCAGATTATATCCATGGCAATGTACAAAGTATAACATTAATTGGTTTTGTCTATAGCTAATGTATCTTAAGGTAGTTCAACAGATGCTATGCAAAACATTTAAACAATACTGACATATCTCTACAATCAACTTTGAAACCAGCATGCTCAAACTCTTGTAATTGTGTACTTCTTCATTTGGCAGCTCCACAATGCAAACTCCACTCAAAAAATCCTCAGAGGAAAATTCAACAGGCCACACCAAGCAAAACAAATATGCTCCTTAAGCACCAATCAGCAAGGCCAAACAGCCTTGTTGATTATAGTCTATAAGCCAGGTCTAACATATTTGAATTATTATTATTAAACCTTATTAAAAAGTTACACACCTAGTAATAGAAAAATATTCATATCTTTGGAAATTATCCCTTTTTACATTTAAAACTTTTCAGCATACTTAATGCGGTAAGTAAAAAACTGGCATTTACAATGCTTTACATGCTCAAAGTACTGAACAAATAATGAAGTATTCCAACTACATAATCACCAACTAGTATAATCATTTGCTTCAATGTTATTTATAGAATAAACATCAGCAAAGTACCAAGCCAACAGCAAGCACTGATTATAGATTGGATACTCTGATAGACAGCACAAGTTCTGACACTTCCCAGTCACTCTCCTTGGCAGTGACTTGGGAACAGCCCTAGCTTTTGACCATCTGGTCTGGAGGCATCTGGATTTAGACTGCAGTAATGAACTACTTCTGGTAAACCAGAAGGCTTTATCTTGCTCTTTCACGCTTGTACCTCTACAGCAGCCTATCCACACCCAACTTCCCACTCTGCAGGACAAGCACGTCTGACAGCTTATTCCTCTTAAATGGTGGAACAGATCAAAATGGACATCACTGGGTAACAGCCAACACTGAGAGTGGAAACCACTCACTCTCCTACTTAGAAACAACTGGCAACAGCCCCTGAGGGACTGAACAAAGGCAGCAGCACCTGCGCTTCTAAGTGGGGATATATGGGGGCTGATGCAAGGTTAGGTCACAGCTCAAAGAGGTCAAGGTGAGTAGCAGCAATGAGGTAGATCAAGAACAAGAAAGATTTAGATATTAGTTATGCAGCTTGTCAAATTAGCATGGCATCTAAGATTATCCCAGTGATGAAAAAATGTTACGGACCCTGCCATACTCCATACATTTGACATAGTACTACCACTAAATGTTTCATGAAGTGACAGCAAATCCATTACCTAGCCTTACCCTAGATATACTTGGGATTTAAATATCTCTAGGTTCAATACTATTTAACTACCATTGCCTTGGCTTCTGATGGAATTATCTTCAGTAGTTTTTGCACTCTGTGTACTGGTAGACACAGAACTAATGCTTGAAGTCCGAGAGTGATTTTGCAGAACAGGTGCCTTGCTCTTCTCCTTTTTAGAGTCCATCCTTCCATTAGGCTCTTTCTCCGAACTGTTGAGAAAATCAAATAGCAACTCATCATCAGGTTCTGACTTCTTTCTTCTCACAAAATGTGAGGAGGCTCTGGGTGTGGAAACACTTTCTGCTGGGGAAGGAACTTCTGAAGACATCCTACGAGCTGGTTTAACATTTGCTGTTCCTGCTAGAATTGTGGCCTTTTGATGCTTAATATTATCAGCTGCTGAGGAGATGTAGGATGCTTTGGATGATGTCTGATATTTCAGTTCTCCAGTATGCTGGCACAATTCAGAATATTCATTGGCAGAGTCCAAATTCTTATTGTCATAAACTGCACTGCTTCCCACATCCTTTTTGCTCAGAGCCGATGCAGCTCCTTGATCAACTCTGTTGAGTAGATCCTCTGCCTTTCCAGCGAGATCAGCAAGCCAAGACATGATGGATGTCTGTTGGTGAACTCTACAAAATTAAAATTTCAAGACCATATGCTGCAAAAGACATAGAATGATTATAAATCAGACTGGTGTTGATAAGGCAAGATGTACAGGCTACCTAAACAACTGTTGTGTTAATCTATTAGTGCTGTAATTATTTTAATGCTTTTCTCCTACTTGCTTGGTATTTAGCTGTTTTGGTGACTGATGGAAATGAATCAAATCAGTTCCTGAGGAAAACAGACAAAAAACAAGGCTTAGCAATCAGACCACCATATCTCTTTCTGGTATCAGCACCTGCTACTGCGTGTGTCCAGCCTGCTAGCCAATCTGAAACAATAATAAAGTCTACTTGCACCTGACAAAACCAAACTTAGTTGAAGGAAAAGTGGACAGACTCTTACTACAGGAACAGATAACAACAAAGCCTTAGAAGTTTGGCCTGCATATGGAGATCAGGGCCAGATGGAGAAACTTCTCCCAGACAAACCTTAAAGCCTGCTGTCCCCTCTGTGACACTACACGGGGGCCAGGTGCACACCTTCACTTACGCCAAGGGCCTGCGAGATTACACATCCGACGTTTGCCTCCATACCCGCTCCCGGGAAGGGCCCCAACACTCTAGGGCAGGCCCGTGGAGGTTCCACTTGGCCAAGCACACCCACATCGGTAAGGGGGAAGCGCAGAGGCGGGCGAGAGAGGGATGCTCAAGGTGGCCGCTGCCGCCCCCCCTCTCCCCGCCCACCCTCAGCACAGCTGCCAGACCCCGGCCCGGCCTCACCGCCCTCACCCAGCGGCCCTCAGTAGCGGTGGAGGCCTCAGAACAGCCCGACCTCACCTCCTTCCTTCGA